GATGTGGCAGCTCAAACTGCATTCAAAAGACCACCGAGTAAATCTGTGAGTCACGAGGGTGTTGGATTTGGCAAGAGATGAGGTGATGGATGGATGGCGAGGTGGTGGTGGTGAAAGCGAGAGAAAGAGTGCTTTAGGTGGCAATTTGTCTTTATTTTGAGTAGATTTTTAAAGAGAGGGAGAGAGAGTGCGAGATAAGTGATGATGATTGGGTTGTTAAGAGTGCCATTACGCACAATGGCTCCTTTGTGACCTGCGATGGTAGTGTTAGGAAGGGAGCATCTCCACTTGATTCACTCGGCTCATTAGAGATCATACACTACACACGCTCTCCCATTCCACACACTCGGCAGGAGGAGGAGGAGGCGATGGCTAATAACAGTTTCGACTTAATAAGCGAAATGGCTGTGTTGCTCGAAAATAAAATGAAAGACAGCAACTTTTGAAAGCTATAATCTGCGCACGGCCATGAATTAAATACGGAGTGAGAGAGAGTGAGATGGGCTTTCACCACTTTCAGCTCTCTCTTCTCTCCATTGCACAATTTTAAAAAGAACTGCACCTGCACTTGAGGAGAAAGTTACAAAACTTTAACGATCCAGTTGGTCTTGTTGTGTAATAAAGGCAGGCTGTACGCGAGCGAGATGGTGAAGGCAACGAGCCCTCTTTTGAACCCCTTTTGGCTTTTGCTACCTTTTTCCGTTATGCAATCACCAGCGCCGAGAAGATGCAGATAAAAGATGGTCAGATAGTCGAAACGTGCATGGAAAAGGGGGCTTTTGTGCCCAATTAAAAGGCTTTATTCCCATTGCTTCCCCATTTCGTATAATTCCAAGTAGCTCTTCTTCTTCTTGGCTCGTGAAAGTAATGATTTCCGCGAAGAGAGAGGAATTTGCCAACATGACTCGGGAACTCGGCTCTCTCAAAGAAAGCCTTCCCCTCCATTAACAACCATGTTTTATGCAGATAGATTCCCTACTGCAGTCGTATTTTACGCTGATGGATGCATGTCGAGGAGCGCATCGTACGGATGGATGGATGGATCTGTTAATAATTGAAACTTGAAATTGATTCTCGTCATCATTACGAGTGCGAAACTTTGCATATTTTTTACGTCCTGTCCTGCTGAGTGAGGACGTATTTATTTTATCCTCTCATTTCTCCTCCATATTTACCCATCCACCTTTCGCCTCCATGTATCCACTCCGTTCTTTTTTTGACCAAACTATAGACGAAGAAGGAGGAAGTGAAAGTGGGGGCATGTGCGACTACGTGGAGTGGAGGACTACATAACAGTTATTGTCTGGCGTGTGTGTAGGGATGACCTCGTTGGGAGGTGACCTTTATTTAATCAAGTGAGAAAGGGTGGCTGGAGGGTCGTTGATGGAATTTATGTGGAACGAGATAACAAGAGGTTACGCTCCAACTGGGAAATCCGGAATTCATCCGGAGGAGCAGTAAATGATAGTACATGCACTCAAATCCAAATTCCATGCTCCAACTTAACTACTCCGCAGGATAAGAATTGCCATCTTAATATTTTCCTATCAACTTTTCCCCCGAATAGTTTAACACGACTTCAACTCGGAGTTGGAGAAGTAAGGAAATTATTACTTTTGCCCGGATAATGAGGAGACTGAAAGGAGAGCGAGTGATGAGAAATCAGAGAGGAGGAGGACTCTTATACAAGAGAGGAAGAAGAAAAAACAGGTGAATGCAAATGCGTGGGGCGAGTCTTGAAGCGTGGAAGAAGGAGAAGAAGAAAAGTTTTGTCCGCAATTTTTTTCCTCTTTCCGTCCTTCTCTTCACTTACTGGAGGAGAAAGTTGGGTTGGGTGGTTTGCCCCGAATTCGGATATTTATTGGTATTACCCATGAGCCAGAGCCAGAGGGCCACAATTTCGGGATTAAATTCGGAAGGAAGAGTTGATCCGCCGCGACTACATGAGGCATCATCATCATCATGATTCGAGTTCTTTCCGCTTTCCCCATCACTGCACGTTCCCATTTGATGCCCATCGACTACATACTACACGGCCAAATTACGCCCATAAACAGGTACGCAGATCCGTGGCGGTGGTGGTGGCGGAGGAGAGAAAAACATTGTTTAAAAGAAAGTTAAAGCCCGATCGTCATCCGTCTGGCTCATGCATGGCCGAAAAACAAATCTGTTTCCAGGACAGGCTCACGATCAGCCTGATGACGCGCGCTACCTTCCCTCCTACCCATTTATTCTCTCCTTGGTCGTCTTCCTTGGCAGGAATTCGGATTGTGTAGGCAACAAAATCGAAGATAATTGAAGGGAATGAATGACACGACGGCCAGGCTACTACCACATCCACCTCCCTCCTCGCTGTAAACTTGGGTGGAGGGCTTTCCGAGTGAAAATCAATCAGACTTGTGAAGCTGTGTGTGGGAAGGAGCAATTATGGGAGAAAGTCTGCCGGACTTGGTGCTATCATTTCCAGCACGGCTGCACAAACCTGATCACCAAGACGAGACTATGTGCTCCTCTGGTATTACTGCATGATTGGTGGATCGCTTTCGTGGTGACGAGGACGACGCCTCGCATTCGGACTTATATTCCTCACTCAATGTGCTGAATGACGATTTCTGACACTGCATCTTTGAAAGAAACTGACCCATTCGACCTTCTTTCTTCTTCTGCGGAGAGTTAGGGCATAAGATTTTATTTTATGCCCACTTTTTAAGTGATGTGTCCGGATGATGTAATCAAGGCGAGTTTACTACTCTTCGTCCCCAGTTTCCTGGCGCCGCCTGACTCCCGTTCTCTATCTATACACTCCCGTCTCGGTTGCTAACTTTGGAGGCCCACCCACCCTCCGACGCCTCGCTTTAAGTTTTATTGCAGGCCGAGCTATAAACCGGGATCGAGGTTTTGAGTGGGTGGTGCATTCATGGGTGGCCTATTGGCCTACAGAGCCCCCAAAGGATTCGAAGGATTGAAACATATGCATTTGACATTTTGACAAGTGTGGAACTTTAGAAAAACAAGACGGCTTTAGATTTAAAAACGGGCGAAAGTTTTGGAGAAGAAAGGGAGAAAGTGATGGCATATAAATTCCTCGTGAAGAGACCACCAAGGGTCACAAAAGGCATCCACCCACTCTGTCAGTGTTTCTCCAGCCATGGGAAACTGTGAATGAATTCACACTCGTCTCGCCGCGTTGTGTGGACAGGACGCTAGATCTTAAGCCTTCTGGAGAAAGAAGGAGGAAAAGTTAGCGAGCCCTCAGCACGACGACGACGAGTGTCGACCATTGTGCCCAGAGAAACAGCAACATCCGCTTAAATAAACAGATTTGCCAACTCCAACTCACTTCTGCCTCATTGCGCCCCTCTCTCCCACAGTGGAAAAGGGCGTCTGTCGAGCACAGTTAGGTTGATGGAAAGTATATTATTCCTTCAAGAAGATGGGACTCGTCTCGCCCAGCATTTTGCACTCGTCGTCTCACTTGGCTTCATTGTGTGCTCTCAGATTGTTAACTCTTCCGGTACGTCGAGATGCGTCAATTTCATGCAAGCTACTACTTCATGAACAATGCGCAAATTTTCAATTCCACGAAACAAACCAATCCTGAGCTTGGTGGTGGGCGCAGTGGACGACACGACTACGTTTCACCATTTCTTGTCATCTTCTTGGAAATGTGTATGCACAGCAGAGTTCTATATCACCCGTCCGTCCGGAAGTGCATAGTCAGTGTGGGAGCCTTGCAATGTTGCTTACATATTATATTTCTTGCTAGCTATGGGAAAATTAAATTGGAAAAGTTTTCAGGCGCCGAAGGAAACGCTATTTGGACGGCATCGGCTTCATTGCTCGAGAGAAGGAGAGAGATGATCGCTCGCATCGTGCCCCATCCGAGTTTGTTGGTTGGACCAGTCCCCGTATCGCTGGGCAATGTTCTTATCGCGCATTGGGATTTGTGACACATCGGGGATATCACATTTTAGCAGGACAAGCGCCCCCATCATGAGACGAATGAATATTTCCCATGACCAATATTTTCTGAGAAGCAATACTATCACGATATAAATAAAGCTCTGAACGGGGGTTTCTACGTATTCACGTAGAACTGGCAGTGGTGACTAAGGATTCTGACAGGAACGAATGTTGCCGACACTGCTGGCTGGATTTATGTGAAGATGTGAAAGGACAAAAGGAGAGACCTTTAGTTGGATTCTATGCTCACAATACGCTCGAGTCCTCCTCCGCCTCCGCTAAACAAAATTGAAGGCAGGAGGCGATCCGATCATTCCCAACAAAAGAAGGAGAAAGGTTTCCATTTCCAGTCGGAGATAGAGACGACCCAGCTTTCTCTCCAACAAAACTGCAACTTTCTCTCCCCACGAGGAAGAAGTGCACGACGACGTATCCGATGTGAGCAGTGGTACGTACACGAATGCCAATACGACCACTGGGCCAAACGTCCCACTTGAACAAACTCTCCAAAGAAGAAGTGTTCTCAATGGCGTGGACATGGACCGCAGATGGAATTTCCATCTCGTCGTCACACAATGCGAAACTGGACAATAATTGACAATGAAGTGAATTGAGCAACAAAACACATATTGGAAACTGGTCGATCCCACTGCAGCCGCCGATAACCAATCTCCACTCCATTTCATAATAGTAATATCGCCTCCTCATGAAATATGGATTTCGATATCCTGCAAAAGCACCCGGTGTGAAATGGCTCACCAAACAAATCTTGCTCCCTCACTTCCCTCGAATAATTGGGACGCAAGGAGGCGAACATAACGCCAAGGTCGACGAATCGTGTCGCCCCGTTAAGTGATGAATCAATGAATTTATGGATGAGAAACCCCCTTTATTTGCGTATGTGATGGATAAACGAGATGTGATGCGGTTATCAAGTGCCAAAATCTTGATGAGCAAACATCCCGAGCTTTTAGGTAATGGAATACATCATCATCATTCTTGGAGCGGATGAAGAAATAAGTCATGAAAAAACTTACCACCATTTGGTAGATGGCTTCCACGATGTTGTACATTTCGTCCCTCGTGATGTAGCCGTCGTTGTCCACGTCGTACAATCGGAATGCCCCTGGAGAAAGGAGACAATTAAGTGCTTAGGCATATGCACAAGTGCGCTGAGGAGTATGCACATCAAGGAGGACAAGAGGAGATAAAAGGACAGACAAACCAACCACATTTTAATGTGACACCATACATAATCGTGGTCACAAAGGGTAAGAATGTGCCATCATTATCCGCCACCTCTCGACCAGACCCACTTACAGTGAAGCTTCTCATCCAGGTTCCCCCTCGACGTTATTGACAAAGCTCGAATAAATTCTTCAAACTCTATTGCACCATCCTGTTGGGAGACAATAGAGGCAAAATGCAAACACACCACCACCAAACTACACCAAATGCCACTCTGCTCAAGTGCGCATTATTATATTCCACCCACTTACGTTGTTCTCGTCAAAGACGCGAAAGACGAGAGAGGCGAACTTGGAGGGGTCTCCGTTGGGGAAGAACTGCTTGTAGATCTTGATGAAACCCTGTCAAGGAGCCGCGACAAAAGAAGACAAATTTGCGTTACGGATCAATTCCTGCGAACACGTTCAATTGCTTACCTGCTCCGTTAGCAGACCGTTCGGACAGTCTTTAAGAAATCCTTTGTGCCTTTTTGGAATAATCAATCGTTATCCTTCCAGTAATAAAAATGTGGACATGATTTATTAATTTTGCCATCGATTTTTCTTACCATTGACGAATCTCCTTTTCGGTAACTGCAAAAATAAAATGAGACGAATGAAATCAAATGAAATGAAATGCGACACAATGGAGAATAAAAATCGCATTAATGACATTTGGCTATAAAATGATTGGACAACGAGGTGCAGTCTTTGTCGATTTGCATATGGTCGCCATGTCTCAGAAACTCGCTCTTTTCATCGTTTCTGCCTTTTTTGTGGGCATCGTCAGCAGCGGAAAGGGCGGACAAGGGCGCGAGCGTAGATCCCTCGTGCACTATGCACAAGGGGACGCCATTCAGGATGGTCGACCGAGTGAGTGCTATTTATTATGCATAATATTCTTCCGTTGACTCGTGGCAGGAAAAAACTCGATGACTTTGAACTAAAATCGATTTAGTGGGCTCCCTGATGAAGATGGGCAACTCGGAGCACGAGGAGAAATTAGCAGAGCTCATCAAGAAACCCAAGCGTGAGTCCGTCACAAGTATACATGCGTTATTACACGATGCCTATCAATTTAGATGTGCACATTATCCACGTTCATGCAAGTCTTGTAAAATTCCTGTCATTCTTGTTGTCATTCGAGCACAGACTATGAGGAGATTGTCGCGAAGGAGAAAGCCAAGCCAATCGTGACAGATTTTGTGGAAAGTGTGGCGCCCTCGACTCGTGGAGCTACGACTGATCTCAGTAAAAAGTGGGATTACAAAATGACAATTGTGATTGCGCCAGAGTTCTGTAAGGACATGTCACATTTGAGGAAATGTCATGATCAGCATGTGCTCATGATTACTATCTCCACCAGCGGACGAGGCGAGGGAAATGCTGCTCTCGGCCATTTACACGCTGAGCGAAGCCCTGAAATGTTTCCAGTTTTACGTGACGAGGAAAGGTGTCACACTTCCGTCGAGGAAAGACCACTTGGTCATTAGTCGAGATCGGGATGGTTGTCTCAGCATGCTTGGCAAACAGTCAGGCCAACAGGTCGGAATTAGCTCGACACATGTTTATTTAATTGTCTCGTGCTATAACAGAATGCGTTATTAAATATTTGTGTCAGTTTGTATTTCTTGGGGAAAGGTGCAATTTGTACGGAACAGCCATTCACGAAATCATACACGCCTTGGGTTTCTACCATGAGCACACACGACCCGACAGGGACAACTACGTCACGGTCGACTGGAGCCAAATCAAGACGGCGAATGGAAGTATGAATGTTGTCACATATTTAACTTAAGCCTCTAATTTAAGCCTTGATTACCCTGCTTGACCAGAATTACAGTTCAAAATTTCGGACCAGAACTACCCCAAAGAGTACGATTTCGACAGCCTGATGCACTATCCGTTCAGCCCCATCCTTCAACCACTTCCGGTAGATTAAAATTCGTATTTTAACCAGAATTCCACGTGCCATTCTGTATAACGTGTGTAAATAAACGTGAACAGGGCAAAGTGCCGCCCGGAGCGCGACCTGGGCAGAGGGACCACTTGTCGAAAAACGACATCATGCAACTCCAGGCCCTGTACCCCTGCAGCAATTCTCCCTTCTACAGGAAGAAGTAGCGCCCAACGCAGCATTTGTTATGCACAATTTTAATCGATCAGAGTAAAATGGGTAATTTATGTGCACATTGCACATTCCGAGAACAATGGGACATTTCACACGACGTTATTGCATTCATTACACAAACGAACTTAGTATTGATTATAAACTCGAGCTGCATGGCTCATGGTCAATGTCACCCACATACCGTGTGGTGACGCAGCGAGAGATTACGCAAGCATCATCGCCATGCTGCAGTTTATGCTTTTGTAAAACCGTTATGTCACATGCAGCAGTGTGTCTGCAATGGCTGTGCAAAACGTGCTCAACATTTCCCCACTGACCTCGCTGGTTGCAGGCCTCATTCTCGCACTCACGTCCTTTCCACTCGCCTCCACTGTCGTCCCTACGCAGCAAAACGTACTCCCAACTGACTCCTCACATGGTAATCATGACGCGGGTGTTTGCACCACGCGGCTCAAGGGACTCGACAGTGCCGGCGATGACAACGACGACGACGACTATTCCAATGAATTTGCAATTGGATTTGACAAACCACAAAGTTTGAGAATCTGATATTCTACTTTATTTTACATGGTGAAAATATGTTCCATTGGAAAATCTGGTGTACAAAATCTGGCGTTTTTTTCAGACTACGACCAAATTATGGCCTCCCTCGTGGCCGACTCTTCAACTCTGACCAACTTCACGGAGGACTTTGGGAGCGAAGGGAATAAAGGTCGCGGCGCCACGAAAAATCTCAAGAAAAGGTGGAACTACGAAATGAAAGTTGCCATTGATCCCGAATTTGGTTGGCCACAGAATTGAGCATTTATTTGAGGCTTTACGGAGCTATGGAAAGTAATTTGTCCTCCTTTTTCGCACAGCGGCGGATGTGACAGAGCAAATCGAGGCGGCGATATTTACTCTGCAAACAGCGATGCAATGCTTCAAGTTCTTGAAGGCCAAGAAGCCGGAGAAAGTGAAGGGCGACCATGTCTATTTTAAGGCCAAAGGGAACGACAGTGGGTGCTACTCTGGTCTGGGAAGACATGGTGGACGACAGGTGACAATGTTGCTGCTTGCGTCATATGTCTGCTTTCACTCACTCGCTCCCTTCCTGCCTTGTGTCCTCTCATTAGGAAATCGTGATCCAGCCCAGCAAGTCGTGCAAACCGTTCGGAACGGCCGTGCACGAGACGATGCATGCGCTCGGCTTCTACCACGAGCACACCCGTCCCGACAGAGACGAATATGTTGACATCAAGATCAACGGCACGAAGCAAGGTGAGATTATTCGCCAAGCATTTCGACCACTTTTTTCGACTCTGGCTCTCCTCTGCCTTTTCAGCAGACGATCAGTACGCGATAATCCCGGATCAGCTCCTGCTCGTCAAGCAGTATGACTTTGAGTCCATCATGCACTATCCTCCAAATCCGGTTTTGCAACCTAAATCGGTACATAAATAACTCATCGCGTGTGTGAGAACACGACGCGTGTTGTCTGTTCCCGGGTGGCTAAAAGTACACTTTTCATTCCGCTGATTTGCTCCCAGGGAAAAGTGCCTGACGGAGTTAAAGTCGGGCAGCGGGACCACCTCTCAAAACTCGACGTGGAACGACTCAACGCCTTGTACCCGTGTGACAAGAAGCCGAAAAAGGAGCGTCGGAGGCGGAGGCGTAGGTGAAACTAAATACTCGCTCCTTGTCCTCTGAAATAATGGGAATAAAGGAGCCATGCAGGAACATGCATAAGTCTGAATTAGATGATGTCCGTAGTCGCGGTGTGTGTGTGTGTGGGGACAAAAGAAGGGGAATAAATGTAAGTAATGATGTAAGGATGCGGGACTGAGGAGCAGCAACAGCGGGAGCGGAGGAGGATTAGTGCAGTCTTTCGGACGGATGATGATAATATTCCAAACGAGAGAGAGAGAGAGAGAGAGAAACAGAGAAAGCAGTTTTTGTGGGACGACGGCTTATGCACGTTAAGGGACATTATTATAAGAAATCTGGTGGTTCTTGGAAAACCACGACCAACCGACGGACTCATTTCACTTGACTTTCATATACCCATTTTCTCCACGAGCCAAGAAAGCCAAATCCCATCCATTCCATCCTTAAGCGGTGCATATAACTTATAACTCTATGTTATGTATATATGATTATACATAAATAAGTGGTACACAGTGAGAGGAGACAGAGGAGAGTATTTATTAGGAGACAGTTAAAGATGGAGTGATGTACAGATTCATAACTAATTACATATACATATCTACGTAGGCATGCATATACCTAACACTACCCTCTCACGAAAAAATTTTTCTCCTGAAAAATAGTCTGAAAGAGTGTGTAGGTTTGCAAACTAAAAATTTCAGTAGTCACAATTTGAAATTTTGATGGTTTACATATGAAAAATTCATGGAAAAATGAAAAATGAAATGACTCCAGAAAACAAACATGAACAAATATTTTGCATGAATAACACTGAACAATTTAATACACATATCGAATGACGCAGTAAATTTGCAGGGCTGGAACTTGAGAAGATGGTATGGCTCGCAATCGGTGGTAGAATTGTGTCATCTCAGGCGTGGTGGTGGTTGACTCATATAAAACTTGCAGATTGGGACAAAACGATAAACAAAGAAAAATACATTTTTGTGGTCGTGGTATGTGGTCCATCGGGACATCGGAGATACATAAATACGCAGACTTGTGAGGGTTTTGTCGGGGTGACCCATAACCGGACAACTCGAAGACGCAGGGTTTTGTGTGGGTGACCCATAACCGTGACTCGTTAAAATAGGGGAACTATGTACAATGTGGATTTCCATACTTGAACACGCAAATAATATGTAGACGTTGCTCATTACAAACATTAATCTCAAGGCGTTATATTTCATTCTCAGCCTGGGAAAGTGGTGACAACGCAGATCGAGCATAAAAGTTCAGCAGAATTTTGAGACAAGGTGAATCAGATTACATTTTTGCAACAAAATTTGATAAAGAATTGGGACAATTTTCCAGACGAAATGAATAAAAATGACATTTTTGCAAATATTTTGCAGAAATTTTGATAAATTTTGAACGAATTTTGATCAAAATTTTTCAGAAATTAAACGGAATTTTTTTTACAATATTTTTACGATTTTTTAACAATTTTGAAGGACAATTTTGCATATATTTTTTTGACGTGTTTAAAACAAATAACGGAATTTTGAATTTAGCATATTTGCTCGAATTATGAAATGTAAATTTTGGACTGGAGATTTGGAAATTTTAAGAATGGGGGAATATTTTCAGGGTGGTTTAGAACCAATTTACAGACCTGATAGCATCCGGGAGGATAATCCAATTTACAGACCAGATGACGAAAATTCACAAAAAAAGTTTCACAGGAAAATCACACAGTTTACACAAGGTTTTGAGAAGAGAGATTTGGGAAGTTTCCCTATCGGAAGCAAAATGACAATGCTCTAAGGGGCGTTGGTCAAGCTGCTTAGTCGTCGGAAGAATTTTGAAAATTTTAAAATCCATTTTGAGTGGGAGGAGCGAAAGAAAGTACTCGACGGTCCACCAATGTTATGTATATATGATTATACATAAATAAGTGGTACACAGTGAGAGGAGACAGAGGAGAGTATTTATTAGGAGACAGTTAAAGATGGAGTGATGTACAGATTCATAACTAATTACATATACATATCTACGTAGGCATGCATATACCTAACATCTATCTATGTAAATGCGTATATTTATTTCTCGGTGGTGGGAGAAGTGAAAGTACAGCAGCAGCCGGAGCAGAAGTGGTAGCGTCATTATTAGTCATTCATCTCACCAAGTAATCTCCCAGCGAAGGGAGTTGTGTAATAACTAATAATCCACGACAGTTCCCCACTTTCCACATATTAATCTCCCCAGCAAACAAGATCTGCAACAACAACGTGCTCCTCGCCAAATCGTCCAGACGTCAAAACTCCTCCACTGAATCCAAATGTGGAGAAAGTAATTAGCTCAAAATCGTCATAATGAGAATAACATAGCGTGAAGACGCCCCGCGGTTGTTGGCAAAGTTTTTGAGAGCATACGTCTCATACTTGCTCGGAATACTAGTTTACTAAATTATGCATGAGGAGAAGCCTATTTTTACCAAGAAGCCAGTCTTATGCGCACGTATGTACGTAGTAGTGCGAAGTGTGGGGCACCCAGTACATGGTACACAAACGGAGGCTGCTGCTGGTTTCCTAATTTATGACCCCAGGCTCAGTGGCACTTCCAATTATTTCACTTGTCCAGAAAATGTTGTCCAGATTTACCCAGAAGCCAAACAAGAAGACCAACTTAACCTTCTTCCCCCACGCTGCTCAGTCGTACATACATAATCCCAGCACGAACTAATTCCCATCCTGCATGGCCCCAAAATATTCATATGCGTGCCAGCTTTCGTGGTGGACCCCAAACACAAACACATAGGCATCCGCGGCAGTCGTGGCCAAGTGGATTTATGAGTGACTGCACTGCAGCATTCCGATTTAGGTTCTTTATACTGCTTCCCCTAGTCCCGATGATGGTGGTGGATTTATTTACACGAGCCCCGTAGTAAAAGCGACTAGGTGAAAGACCACGAGAAAGTTGTAACCCAAAAAGTAGGAGGAGGAGGAGGTCCATGTTGCGGCAATTACTCTTTGCCCAAATTAAATTAGAGTATCATCATAACATAACGCAGCCCCAAACGACGAGGCAGAGATATGGAGGTAAATATGTAGTGCCAGGTAGCCAGCCACTGCTTTCTCCCGCATCCGCCTATCCCAAATCTGAGCAATAATCTCTGTTCTGATAAATTGAAGCATACCTCAACTAACTAAATGCGACCGGAGAGCCCGTCCAACCGTGTGCTTTGCTATGAGCCCACTTTTTACGGCTCATTTTTCCTTCCTCCTCCACGTTTTAATCAAAATCTAGTTTCGTTCAAGTATAAATTTAATTTTCGTGCGGCAACTGCTCCTCCAAATGGAACTACTTGTCCAATTACGGAAATGGGGGACGGGCTTTTAATGTGCAATAAATATTGGACGAGCGAATAAGTGGCCACTCATATACAAAGCTCTGTGTACACATCGTTTGACGCTGGCTGCCTGCAGTTGGTCTCATCAAGAGGGAATGCCACCAGAGGAAGAAGGAGGAAGAGGCAGGACGACATTTGGGTGCGTCTTCCACCAACCACAACATTTTCTCAATGTCCTAAAAAGTAGAGAGGAGTCATCAAGGGAGACAAGAGGAGCGTGGAGTGACCTTAGACCTGAGAAGCCATGTGGCGCGTTTGAAAGGCGGAGAGGAAATCAATTAGGAATGTGTCCCCAATGAACAGATGCTCTTTACGGCCAATTAATTCCTCCTCGTCCCCATCAACCAACAACTCCTCCTTTTGACAACTTTGGCATTAAAACAGACGGAAAAAGGAGAGCAAGCCGAGGTCCAAAGGAAGTCGGGCTGGCTGGATTTTGGCCCATAAAGCAACGGCTCCACCAAACCGCGTCGTCAGAGTTGACCTCAACAAGCAAACTAACAAACAAACAAAGAGGCCGAGAGAGAAAGTCTGCTCATGAGACATCTTTGATCTGCTGCTTACTCGCATCATCCCAAAAAGCTAAACCAAAACTAACAAAGTAATGATTGAAGCAGTCATCACCATCATCGCTTTCCTTCTCCTTCGGGATGTTGAGTGGAATGGGTGGCCGCACTCCGTCCCTGTCACGACTCTCAATGGGGCTGGGCGTGCCTCGTCCTTACCTGTGTCGGCCAGATAATGCGACCAGCGAGAGAGAGAGATGATGATACAGCGCGGAAAGATCTCGCAGGACATTAGTTTATTTTGTAAAAGTGACACGAACTGCTTGGAGGAAACGATGCTTCATTTCCGTGTGACAGGCGGGACATAACGTGGAACGAACCCGATACGGCCAAGGCGACGACACAACAACAACAACGGTGCTGCATGTATCAGTCCATGGTGTCGTCTCACCAAAAACCACGCCACCTCCATCCACCACCACCAGGCAGACCATACCAACTGCTTTCTCTCTACGGGTGGGAATCCTAGGAAATGTTGTTTGGTATTGACTCTGCACAGCGAGCATGGTGGATGGATGAAGGTAGATTTAGACATTGCACAGACTGCCGGACTCTCACAGCGAGTTGAAAGGGTTTCGAACAGACAGAGGAGAGAACTGATTTATGACAATCTCCGTCTATCTCTCTCTCTCTCTCGAATAGAAAATAACAAAAAAATGCAGACTTTCGCTCTTCCCAATTTTTTGCGAATTTCTCTGATGGGATGATTTCTTTAAATGTAAAACGGAATAAAGCACCACTTTGAGTGGAATGGGAGCTTCATAAGTCGACCTCCGACGAGCGCAATACTAATATTTTCTCCAATGACGACTACTGTTTCTATTTGGGTGGAGAGGACTTTGAGGAATTGAGAGCATTTTGCATGCAAGCAAGTATTTTGAGTAAATGGGATTAAAGCCATTTGAGGAGAGGGACACGCAACTCACATAAATTTCCTAGCCTCCATTTCATCCACTTGGTCGCAGTCGATAACCCACTTATCCGCCAAGAACGACATGCACCACCACGAACTAACTCCATTGCGACGACGAGGAGTCCGACGAAAGATAAAACAAACAGCAGCAGCAGTCCATACATAAGCAACGCGTAAGTATTCCCAGGTTGGAATAGTATTCACACATGTATTGCATTTCTATAAGTATGTGCATTGTACATGTTATTATTTGCCTCCGCTCCACACTTTTCATACTCTCGGGTGGCGTAGGCTACACCGTGTAGTCTAAAAACCACACGATGGAATTTCCAATGACCGACACGATCACGCCGTATGCCATTAACCTTATTTTAACGGGGACTCCAATTCATACGTCTCAACCTGCCCCGCGGAAATTGTTTAAACATTACTATTTATTCGGAACTCCTCTCGGTGGACCAAAAACCTGGACATAATTATTACTTTTGGGGGCTGTGGGACACGTATGCATTTACATGTGCACCTCCTCCTCCGCCAAACAAATGCATGCAGGGAACGGAAGGAAACACGTAATGTCCATTTGTACACTACTTCTTCTGCCGGCTTAAAAGTTAGCCACGGACAAATGTCGACGTGACTTTGATGAGAAAGAATTAAGGGAACAGGAGGTTCCCCTCAAAACTTGGTCAAAACTTTCACCAGCAAGGACCTCTTGGTGCAAAGTGTTGGTGTGTGTGTGTGCATGAGGATGGAAGTCGGAGTAAATATGTTGCTCTGATGTGGCCAAAACCTCATGAATAAGCAATTCTCGGAAATCCAGGCTAAACACTGTCTTTGGATGAAATAAACAGGAGGACAGAGAGCCTAATGGACGACACGACACGACCACTTGAATATTTAAATGCGATTTCACTCCTCTCTCTGCCTTCCCCTCGGCTGGAGAACAACAATAATATGCAAGCAACCACTTGTGAGGCCCGACTTTAGGGAAAAAAGTGGATCAGACAGAGTGCCCATGCAATTTACAAATAATTCACCGCTACAGATTGATTTTCCAATGAGCGAATTAGGGCGTAACAAGAGACAAGCAATGACGAAGACGACGAGGGCCGTATTAAATATTATGATGATGAGATGGTGGTGATGATATTGGAGAAGTGTGTCAAATAATTGGGTTAGTTAGTTAGTGCAATCAGGACTAATGCGCTGGGGGAGTCCCTTATCACGTTGGCATCATCGTGCATAGCGGAGGTGATGATGAGCTCCTAGTCTCGTTGCCTGGTTGGTGTAATCAGCAGTCTGATCATCTCCTTTATGCGCCACATCGTCACCAAATATCGCGTCGTGTCGCCCTATTGTCACTCCGAGCGTACCCTTGTCAGCTAAACGTCCTCCTGTCACCTAAGCCTTTGGAGGGGCATAAATATGAAGGGACGTCGTTGCTACTGGTGAATAATTCGCATAAAATCCAGCCAACCAAGCAGCAGAGTGAAGTGTGTGTGAAGTGAAAGTTGAGGTGAATTTGAGTCCACATTAGATCGATCCGGCCGACTTGGTTAATTCCATGTCATGTCACACACAGACCAGACTCCACATGGAGCTCGTATGTAGAACTCAATGAAAGCAAGTGGCAGAACTAAATTGCCTCACTTGACTTGACAGCACTTCACGCTGGCTGCGAGAAATGGGAGAAACTCGCTCTCTTTCCAGAGAGAAAGCCTTCCCGAAAACCAAACCTTTTCCTTTCGCCGTCCACCCACAACCCAGTCAGCTCTCTCTCTCTTCCTTCATGGGCGACTCTCGACGCGAAAAAATTATTCATGGCCTGATTGGATTACACAATTATTAAAGTGATCTCCGCGTCGGGGAGAAAAGGGGGGCGAGAGAACAAAGGAACAAGAGGACACGAGGACGACTTGGTAGAAAAGAATTAGCACTTTTGGTGTTCCGGTTCATTTCCAGTAAGGATTTCGTGTCGTCGAGTTAAAGCGGCCCATTCGTCACCCGCATCCGCCTCCTCTAATGTCCCCATTTTTCAACATTTTGACATATTAATCTTACCCGAAATGAAATGAGACTCCAATTTCCTTCCACTCAAAAAAATGGGGAGTGCTCATTCACATGTTACGAGCACATCCGAGCTTCCACTTCCTCTCGCAAACATTTACGTTATTTCTCAAACCTTCATCCCGTGATAAATCGCAGAAATTGCATAAATAACAAGGTAGCGCGGCAGGGAGGAGAAAGCAGTTTGCATTTGCTAGGAAATAAATGACAATTTCGCCTGATTTAAATTTAAAGCGGAATGATTTCAGGGGGAGGCGATGACTTGCTGAGTGGACGCTTCGGAAGGAAAAGAAGTCACGCAGCATGGAACAGTGTCTTTTCACAAAGTATCGTTTCCTTAGTTTATTCTGCCCTCCTGCCGCCGCCGCCGCTCTCCATGCACCCAATGCTGAGAGGAAAATAAAGAAGAAGACGCAGATGATGTGATGCTCCAGCCATCCACATCCCGTGGCCATGCTACACATAGTCTGGCCATGCTCAACTTTGTAATTTATTGCTTCGACATTCTACCTTCCTTTCTCCCCACACATTTCTATCTCAACTCACTCTTTCATCCTCGACGACGACGACGACGACGAAAAATGAAACCTCGCTCTCACCGCACACACACACACCACTAACCCAATTGGCAATTTGCATCCTTTCCCAGTCACCACAGTCCATGCAGCACAAAGGAAACCATTCAAATCAATTTTATTCTCTTAGCCGAGCGAGAGGGAGAAAGTTGCACCGACGGCGTTGATCATTTCCATTTTCATCGTGCCATCTCACCCAGGATGAAAAGCAGAAGAGAGAGTGTTGCCCAAAGAAGCCGCAAACAAGACCAACCACCAAACCACGACTGACGGAATGTGCCACTGCTGGAGCTCCACATTTTACTCGCACATAATCAGGCTAAAAAGGGGAATGAGAGAAAGTAAGATGACTTACAGTACGTGGCCGTTGTGAGCCGTTCGATGGTGTCCGCCTTGAGTTTGGAGTTCTTCTTCCCCATCTCTACTCGATCTGAGGGGACGTTATCTTGACGATAATTACTTCTCACCACTCGGACTTCTCACACACAATGCAAAGTTCAAAGAAGTAGCAAGTGACGAGATAACAAACAAATGTTGCTCGTTTCACTTTGCCCCAAACTGTTTGCTTTCTCCTGAAATTGACACCTCTTCTTCTTCTCTCTCCGCAAATAACGAACACTGTCAAGTATTGCGATGTACGTACGACTATTACTTTTGGGAGTGAACCTCCGTTAATTAATTAGGATTAGTCGACTGCCGAGTGAGTCTCAAATGGAGAGATTTCGAGGTAAGTGAGTGAGTGCCATGCTTCCGAAAAATGCACCATGCTATAATTTCCTGCTAAACCGGAATGTACAATTTCCCTCCACGAATCCCACTTCCTGTTTCGGGGAGTTGGATGGGTGGGGTTGGTGTTGGTGGGTAATTACACGCCGGCTATTTCACTTCCTTCCTTCGCAAGTTGCCCTTCTCCTCCAGTTACGACGACGACGACGAGACTGTGAGGGCTGGTTTTCACTGCTCGAGACTAGCATTCCACAGGTAGGTGAGCTCTCTGGGTCGGAGGACGACGCTGCCGTGAGAGAGACGAGCCGTTGTTCCCCTCTGCGCCTTGAGGTTCTCTTTTCGAGCGGACTGTGACCGAGGAGCGTGGGTGCAAGTCGGAGCTTGACTGAGTCCACCTGAACGTTTCTAGAGCCGGACAGGAGGCGAAGGAGGCAGAAGCAGCAGCGGGGGCATTGCTGAGAATAACTTCGGGTGGTTGTGGTGGTGGTGGAACGAGGTGAGTGGTGGCTGTCGTGTTTGAAGTAGTGCTCCAAGACTCCAACTACGGCCTTCTCCACGCTTTTTCCACAGGCCGAGGAGTTGGTTGGCTGGGTGGGTGCGGCGCATGTCTTGCCTCCTTATGTACCAACAAACTGATCCACCACATTATTATGCTCTCTCTCCCATCCAAATTGCTCCCCAAATGTAATGAATGCAATTTTCAATCAGTGGGAAAGCAATTACTTATTGATTTCTACCAAATTCGTCTCACAGCAATTTATCACCCAGTTAAGAGCCAGTCGAACCTCCTCCTCAAAGTCGTCGTGGACAGTCAAGAAAGATGAATAATAATAATAACATAATAATCACCATCGATTCATCAACGTGCTTCCCGAAATTCGCGTGTTTCCGAGTGCTTGGTTATTGAGGAGTGAAAGTGGTCCTACAAGATCCACATCCTTCACGACTGGAATTCTACATACGCTCGACTTAAACACACGACGACGATGCAAAAAGTGCTTTCTCCCACACGCAACACGAGTTCTCTGTATACATACAAATCCACGCATTTATTTCTGAATTCGTTTTACAACATTTTACACGTAGAGAGAGAGAGAGAGGACAAAGTCACAAAAATCAATATGTTCACATTAAACAAAGCCACAGTACACACATAATAACATTATTATTTGGAGCGGTTGTGTAGTCGCGTCGATTTGCTGCTGCACAACAATAGACGCGTATAACAATAATAATAATAATAATCCTCTCGTATGAATAGTGACAATGATACCAACAATAATAACTAAGTGAGTGAGAGCCATGTCATATACATGTGTAGAGGCTAGCTATGTAAATTATGTATGCACTATTTGCTAAGTCTACGGAGAAGGAACTTATAATTACTACGTACGTATATTTGTTTGTTTGACGACTCTGATTACACATTCGATGGAAGAAACATTAAAACTCATCATCACAATTAACGTACATTAAGGTCTATCCATACACATAGACGAATCCAGCAGGACACATTCGTGGAGACATGCACACAGGAACACATCCAAAGAAATGACCCAATTGCTCAAATGTCGTTCCAAGAATATATACATCGTGGACACAAATTATAAACTCTGTTCTTCCCGTAAATAATTGTAGTGTGTAATAATTTGAGTGTAAAGATAGAATACGATTACATAGAAAAAGAGAGGCCAATTATTGATCAAGAAGGAGATGAGAATGGACAGAAAAAGATCAGCCTTTGTCCCATAATTGTAATCACACAAGAATACTTAACGAGTTGCTAAATTAGTCTAAAACTTGTCTCAATTTTTGTAAAGTAAACTATAGACCTTGAAGCAAAAAAAAAAGTCTGAACTGCTGCTGCTGCTACCAACTAGACGACAATTATGTATTTACACGCTAATACACGGTTTAGTAACAAACTACACGTTTCCTACACAATTTTTCTTATTAAACTGTCTTCTTTTTCTTATTCGCCCGCATGCAAACTGAAAATATCACTGTAACCGAGAAGGTACCACTTTAGGAGGAGAACGCCACTTTTCGGAAATAAGTAGGACTAGCACGTATCCAATTTACCCAGCTGGATTACAAAACAGTTCAACAATTTACTTATTTAAATGCTATTCTGCTACGTTACCTGAGCACACTAACCAGCTACGGCTTCCTCCTGTAACACGTACATAATAACATTTTGTAACTATTTCTAAGTATATCTTCTTAAAATCTCTGTGTGTATGAGGAGCATGAAATCCATACGTAATTATTATTCCGAACGTACGTGGAAGATGACTTCCTGCCACGTTCAATTACGGGACTCTTTGCCTTGGAACTTTAATCATCTCAGTATGAATACACGAGTTTTTGGCTCTTTTTTACTCTTTGGAATGAATCTTTTTTGCATGCTTGTCTTCCAAGAAAATTGAAGCGATTGCCAATAATGTGTTTCTGCTTATCCTTAATGTGTATCGAGGTGAATTACTTTTTGCACGTATTGCTTTTTTGCTACAACACTGCTAATAAATATTTATTTATACAGTTTCCCTTAAAATTGCCCTAAATAAAGAATCATTGTACTATTTATGCATGTTTCACGCGGACATTAAATATAACTGTGTGTCGTGCATGTACTAAAAAAAATGTATAGATACATATTTATGCAGCAGAGGTAGTGACAACATGCACTTTATTGTATGCACGAATATCTAGCATACGTACGTAACGCTGTTTGTAACATTTATAAATTATTTATTATTTGTAAATGTGTGTTATTCAATCATAATGATAATTGAAATATGTAATTTTTATTTTACTGTAATTTCTGGCCCTTACGCTAATGATTGTTTTATAAGCACCCTTCACCATACACCTTGTCACGTTAATATTTTTAGAGCAAAAATTTGCAATTTGAATGCACCGCCATCTGATCATCAATATTATGTATGCATAGAATTAGATAATTATGTAGTTTATGGCGTTGCTGCTTCTGCGGATTTGCATATGTGTAGTAATAAATATTTAACAACAATATCGGAATAATCTCAGTTAAACATTACGTAAATAAATAAATGACTTTAGCCTCGCCTTATTGAATAATGAAAGTGGATCGTCGCCATGTACGTACGTAACACATGTGAATCAATAACTGATGCTCCTGGAGTTGAGTGAGTGAGTGAAAGTGAGAGAAAGTGGTGAACTAGGTAGAGAGTCATCATTTACTGGTTTTTTATGTCTGTCTGTAGAGTAGAGTAGTTATTGCAAGGCGGAGTTTCAGTTTAGTAACAACAATAGTTTTTTTAGTACTGTGCTTATCGCTAGAGAAGAAGAAGTAGGAGAGAAGGAGAAGAGTTGACCTTTGACCGTGGCGGCGGCGAAGAGGACGACGACGACTCCTGTTTTGGCCTCGTCTCATTCCCCGCCGAGGGAAAGTGCCTGTTGGGACAAAGAACAAGAGCTGTGTTCTTAAATCCTGAAGTAAAACTAACAATGGGTGTCCCAGCCTTGTTCCTTCCGGATTTTTTTGATCCACTTATAATTCGCGCGACACATCTACCAGATACAAGCAATTTTTAGTTTAAAGCTTAGCCCAGTACACAAAAACCAGCGATTTTTTAACATTAAAATACACATATTTTCCTCGGCCGAATCATTGTATAATTTGAGGACCGTTAATCCATCGATTCCGTTGTGGAAAAATAGCGTTTGTTATTTTAAAATTAACAAAATCGGTGGCTTTTGTGTACTGGGCTAAGCTTTAAACTAAAAATTGCTTGTATCTGGTAGATGTGTCGCGCGAATTATAAGTGGATCAAAAAAATCCGGAAGGAACAAGGCTGGCGTGCTCATTGTGAGTACATGCACATGGATGATCATTATCACTGCGAGGCTATCACCACCAGCCGCACTTGGAGTGGAGGAACAAAGGGCTTTAAAAGGGAAGACGAGGCAGCACTAAGGAGGCTGGTGGCATGAGGATGGCTGTGACAATGGGATGGAGAAAGTGCTCAGTCAGCACCAGTTTGGGTTGTTTGCAGCAGTGGATGAAGTGCCCATTAAAACTTGAGCCCAAACTTTCTCAATGAAATTTTGGACAATCGCATTTACCTGCCGTCCCTACTTTCAACTTTTTACCATGTTCATCCCTCTACATGCATTGATATGTTCCGCCACATGTTTCCTTGTACAGAGGGCACTTCCAACTCTGCCTATTTAAAAACCAGCCAGGCAGGAGGAGCGGGTGGGAATTGAATAATTTCCATCCATCCAGCCAGGATAATTCCTCGGTATAAAAATCCGCTGGTATTGACGGATTGAGAGGAAGAAAGTGCGGAGGAGAGGAAAGGAGATAAGGAATGAGAGAGTGAGGGAGAGGGTCGGATTATTGCTTGGATCATAATGACGTTGAATAAAGGAATGGATGTGAAATTGGTATCTACGACGTACTCCCTCCTTCCTCAAAATGTCAAATTATGGAATTTGAGAATTGAAAAGGTCAGTGAAATGAGATAGCGGGGCTTATGAGATGGTAAGCGATCATGGTAATGAGAATTTGGGTGTAAAGAAACCAGACGACGAAAAAGACGGGGTTTTCACTCACCTGGACAATTCTGGGGTCGGCCTTGCTGCCTTCGCGGAACTCTTCCAGCGTGAGTCGATTGTCGTTATTCTTGTCCATCTGGGAAAAACAGGAGGTGGCAATTAGGTTCCGTCTGCTTATTTTTTAAGCTGACCTTTCAAACATTTAACAACTTTGCCCTCGTCTCAAAAAATTCTCGTAAATTGTTATAAAAAATTTACTACATGTCTGGAAAAATCTTCAAAAACGTATTTTTCGCTACTAAAGCTAACAATATGTTGCACGAGATAGATAAATATGCGAATATATACAGCTGAAGCAAGTTTTAGTAAATACTAAAAATTGTAGGCACTAAAATATTTATGAGTATGGATCGACAGTCACTTGACGAGACGAAGAGAGAAATATTGTCCCGTCGTAAATTACCTCTTGCATAATATATGTTGAATTACATACGTTGAAAATATTGTAAATAGATCCATCGGCTCAAGTTCATTGTATGAAAATAGCCAAACCAAATTGTTGGAGGCCACGGGCGTGTAAACTGATCATGCACAAATACGCACATACCTGGTTAAAGATCTTGTCCACTCGTTTTTGCGGCGTGTTTTCATCCTCACTAGTTGGAGCTTGGCCCTGCACGAGACAAGAAATTCAAGAAGCTTATTAGTTATCATCATCGTCGTCGTCGTCGTCGTCGTCTCAGACGTGGAAATAATTCAGACTTGTGAAACTGTCTGAATGGGAGTGAAGTAGCAATTATGGGAGAAAGTCTGGCTGCACTTTCTATTTTGAGCACCGCTGCACAACCATTATTACACAATAAGTATTAATTGCATTAATTGTGGCGACATTTAAGCGATTTTTTTGCTCAATTTTCGTACTGCTCCTCGTCCAATTTCCTTACACCGTACTTTCCTTTCGCGATTGCAAATTAAATACGTACAAACGTATAGGTAAATTTTTGTAATTTATACTCCAATGAATAAACACTAGCCCTACTGAACTTTTGCATTAAGTAGCAATATATGCACATACGTACGATGAGACAACCGACCATTCAGAAGCTAAGCTATTATGTCAAACCAATATTTGCTATATCAGAAGGACGCAATTGTGCCTGCACTCGTCCTTATGCGCCTGGATTTTGGGAGAAGAAAGCGGTGCGTGTATCGTATCTATAAAATCGGATGCAGTCACTTTAATTACAACAATTAAACCTGTCCTCAAGTTCCACATAAGGACCATTGTGGAACAACGAAGACGAACAGATACTCACAATTAAGTACACATCCTAAATAATTCGCACTTTGATCTCCTCAGCAGTTTAGTAGATAAAAAGCATGCACGTACACATATACACACACACATAAAGCAGCGTATTTCCCGATGCATAAAATGGAAATGAAAATGCTACTATTTCTCCTTTGCTATGAAACTAGATGGATGGCAAGTCGTGAGTACTTTGGACAAATTTACGAGCGAGGCATCATGATTCCAATTTATGTGCATTTTCTCACCCCAAATTGAAATTTTAACTCTCATAAAACCACAATAATTATTATTATGGTGCCATCACGAGGACAATCACTCGCACCAACCACGTCGTCCAACATTGTCCACAGCAGCAATAGCTGAATAACGAGCAGGGCATAAAGACAACGAGATCGGATGAAAGGACGCAATTTAAGTTTGCAGTAATTGTTCGGTACAGTTTCCTTCCTCGTTTTGGATTTGTGCCCAAGTGGACTGGCAGAATAATGAGAATGGAAGGAGCGGACTGCTGGGTGCATGCCGTGGCTGGCTGGCTGGTCGTCCTCGCGAGGGAGAGAAAGTTAGTGGAGAGAGAAATATGATTATGGATGACCGTGACTTACGACCCACTCTACAGATTAGCTCTCACACAGCAAAAAGAGAGCCACCCAAAAACTCCATGTAACCAACTGCACCACCGAGACCATCCATCGCGATGGAATGGTGATCTTATCCCCCACGGCCCCACTACGACATACGTGCCCAGCCCTGGACACCACTCCGACGCTCGTATGGAAAAAACTTTTCTCTTTTCTCGTGTTCATGCCTCCATGTCCGAAATACGGAATGCATGGCAAATGGGAAGGAGAGAAACAACAACTTACCACCATTTGGTAGATGGCTTCGACAATGTTGTACATTTCGTCCCTCGTGATGAAGCCGTCATTGTCCACGTCGTATAACCGGAAGGCCCCTGTAATGCAAAACCCATCACGTGTGATTTATTCTCCGTCTAACAATTCCACCAGGCAGGCAGCAGGCAGGCATAATTATCCCACTTTTCGGGGGAAAGATGTATAATAACAATAACAAGGCTCACAATGTAGCTTTTCATCCATGTTGCCTCTCGACGTGATGGACAATGCTCGAATAAACTCTTCAAACTCTATCGATCCATCCTGTAATGAAGTAATAATATTTCCCGTAATGAGCGTCGACGTTAATCAGTTGATTAATAGTCCTCATTATACATACGTCGCACATGAATATCCACTCATTTTCACTGACTTACGTTGTTCTCGTCAAAGACGCGAAAGACCAGGGAGGCGAACTTGGAGGGGTCTCCGTTGGGGAAAAACTGCTTGTAAATCTTGATGAAGCCCTGAAAAATTTACATCTTTTTAGTTTATCACGGAAAAACATGAAATTTTTATTTGATATCCTATTTTGCACGGTTTGAAGTTTTTAATGCAATAAATAATGCCGATTATCAAAACAGCCCTGCAAAATCAAGGAGATAAATTGATTAGTTAATGAGCTAGGTTGAGTTTTAGGTGGATTTTTTTCTTTATATTTTGCATATTGGAAAAGCAGGAGCCTTTCCATTTCTGAGAGGACGAGGTGGAATTATCCCCAAAGGGCTATTTTCCCTGCCACCCTGTTATACAAATAAATGCAATTCAAATGTGGGAGCACGACGACAGGTCCGCCAATTCCTTCTTCACGTGCACATACATAATTTCATTACTTATGCACACATACACATCGTTTTTGTGTCCCATCCTCATTTCCCTCCTCATTACTTTCTCTTCCGCTCTCTTCCTTCACGACAAAATGGCCAAGAAATTCACTTTCACTCAGCCAGTAGTCAGCACTGAAGACGGTGAATAAAACATGAACCCGACCCAAGAGTGGGAGCAAGGTCGACGTGATAACGATGCAGTCACGTAAAAGAAGTTAACCCTTTAACGTGTATGATTAACGACAAGAAAAGGCATTAAATCGGGGACGCTATAAGTATGTTGTGGTCATGGCGCGGGAGGAGAAATTCAGGAGTTTTTAATAAAACTCGAAAAACTGAAAAATCAAAAATTTAACATTGCGTTGTATAGGGAAATATCCAAATTTTTGGGAAGAAAATCTTCAAATTTAGCATTGTGTTGGCATAGGAGAAATCCCTCAAAATTACAACAAATTTTAGGTCGCGAAGAGAAAATGGTGAAAATCCAAGATTCCTAAACTTTTTAGCTCGTTTCCGTGGAGTGAATGTATTAGGATTATGTAATGAGGTTGTCCAAGGATGGGCCATCTTTTAAAAATTATTAAAAATTTTCGAGTTGGGGACAGGCACGCATTTTTTGGCGTTGTCACCCGTTGTTGGGTGAGTGAGAAATTATTTTTCGGTGGACTTTTTCATTTCTAACTCGAATGCATATTATGTGATATTGATGACCACTTCTGCCCCCGATAATTTTGTATATTTCTACACTTATTTGTATACATATTTTTATGAAGATAGCGACCACAACCAGGAGGATAATTCGAGTTCCAGATAAAGAAATGTTTATTTATCTTTAAAAAAACTTGACAAAAATTGACATCCTCATGATTTTAAAAACTTATACCGTTAACAACTCATCTTCGGTATCAGCAGGAGTGGTTTCTGAATCTGCACCAGCAGCTGCTACCTCATCAATTACAAAATCTTCCAGAACTAAATTATCCTCCTCCTCTTCGTCCTCCAGGTCCACCGTTATCGTGGGAGTGATAATTTAATAATGAAAATTTTGTCAAGTTTTAGACAAATGCAACTTTTTCTCCGGAACTCGAATTATCTACCTGGTTGTGCTCTTTATAAAAATATGCATATAAATACGTGTACAAATATATAAAAGTATCGGGGACAAAAATGGTCATCAATATCACATATGTAATATGCAATCGAGTTAAAAATTAAAAGCAGCCCCCAGAAAATGTAGCAAAAATAATTTTAAAAATAATTTCTCACTCACCCAACAACGGGTGACAACGCCAAAAAATGCGTGCCTGTCCCCAACTCGAAAATTTTTAATAATTTTTAAAAGATGGCCCATGCTTGGACAACCTCATTACATAATCCTAATACATTCACTCCACGGAAACGAGCTAAAAAGTTTAGGAATCTTGGTGAAAATCAATGACCTCCTAGAAACGACAATTGTCGTCCTTCCGCGCCATGACCACGATTTTTCAGGACGACTTTTGTCGTACTCCCGAATTAAACCATTTCTTTTAAAACGACAATTGTCGTCGTTACAGTTTAAAGGGTTAATAGCGGCCATGTTAAATACCTCGACGCTAATGCAGCAGAAGGAGGCATGCATTAAATAAGTGGGTCGTGTTCTCACCTTTTCAGTGAGGAGGCCATTCGGACAATCCTTCAGAAAACCTTTGTGCCTGCAGAGAGGACAGAGTCACAGTTTTAGTCAGCGAGAAAACCAAAAAAACGCATGAATACTTGAGGAGTCGTATTTACCATTCGCGAATTTCTTTCTCCGTGACTGCTCCGTGTTTTTGGGATGGGGGAGAGAAAGCATGGGCAAAGGAGAGAAGGTGACATTATTATTTTAGACTCTTCTCATTAAGAATGCGGAATGAGTGAAGGAGCGGGGGAATGACTCACAGTAAGTGTTTTTGACGAGTCTGTCCACCGTGTCCTGACTGAGTTTGGAATTCTTTTTGCCCATTTCGCTCTCGGTGTGTGGAGAGAGACAGGAAAAGCGTTCTTCTCGTCCGGAGAGAGAGCGAGGCTGCACAATAAACGCGATTTGATTGGAATAGGTGAGTGACGGGCTGTGTATCCGAAATGAAACGTTAACCCGTGTCTCCTGTCCACCTCTGACCCGCTCAATTACACACGACACCAGTTACACACGACGCAGCACACACCACGACGCCAGGCAATGCACCAACAACAACAGCATCCTGCTTTCCTTCACCACCACCACCTGCGTTTTCTCCCACGTCTCGGGAAATCTCCAGAGGGGATAAAGTTTCACCTGCCTCCTGGTCCAGATTAGATTTCCGTCACGTCCGTAGCTCAGTTGGGTTGGGAAGATGTCGAAAATGGAGGCATGTCGACGGGCAGAGCGAACAGTGCAGGATGTTGGCGACGAGAAGGCTGCTGAGAGACTGGAGCTGGTGGAGAAAGGTGGAGAAGGGCGCATGCCTTATATGTCCCTTTACCCGGAAACCTTGAGCAAAAATCAATCTCGTCCACTTTCCCCACATCGGTTGGAGTCCTCTCGCATACCAAATACCAACACCGCCAGGAGAGAGACCCAACTCTTCTTAATCTCACTTTTACTTCCTAACCGCTGCCAACACGGGGAGTAGGAGCGCGTCCAAGTCATCCCTTTCTCGCTGGGTGTGGACACAATAACAAGCCTCCTCCTTCTCATCATAATCACCACTTGGGGAGATGCTAAACGGCGGCCCAGGAGAACTACCTGCACTCGCATCCCACATCTCCTCGCGCCCTATTGCATCATTCCACTCAATCTATCACGAGCATGACATTATTCCTGCCAGGAGGTCAGGCCACTGCACCAATATCTGCTCCTCCAATAAATAGGTGCTCCTCAAATGTCAGCCACAGACAGTGGTCTTCTGGCACATTAGGCACTGCTGCACCGTCCAGTCCAGACATCTGCTATTTAATCCTATCCGTGGGAAATGGCATATTATTCCAACGACGGGCTGACACACTCACCCAGTGGACGGACACGCTGCCTGCTTGTTTGCATTGGGGCAGGTTGGGATTTCGGAAGAGTTTTGAGCTTTCTCTCTGCTTTCTCCTCTCTTTGGGCTCCTCCACAAGAGAAGAGAAAGCAGAGAGAATGCCCACTTTTTTTGCGAGTCTCATCCGGAACCATGCGGAGTGCACGGGGCTATTGGATGTACGAAAATGTCAGACAGGAAGCTTAGGACGGAGCTCCGTTTTTTGCCTGTTCCGACCTTCCAACTTTATACATATTCTAATGCGGACAGAAAGAAAGAAAGAAGAAAGTTACATGGCATGGAAGAATATGAGACGAGCGGATTACATATCATGCTTTTTTGCTTCTCTCTTTTCTCATGTAAGACTCCTCGCAGGTATTTACCTCGCACATTTTTATACTATACACACAGGTGGAGAAGTGCATATGGCGTTACATAAGTCGACATATGAGCACGTACTTTGAGAGTTTTGGTAGTAAGCGACTGCTTAATTTGTGCTGCATGTCAGTAAGTTGCGTAGGCAGTGTAATGTGGTTGTGGTCATCCTCCGGAAGTGGGTTCAAGCTCGCTCCACACACCAGGAAAACACTCCCACTGCTTCACATCAACTCTCAATGCTAAATATGTGTGTCATGCCATAGACTAAATTGACTGAAAATTTCCTCCAAAGTTTATGCCAATTAGCTTTATCGTTAAATTGGGTTAGCGTCATCATTCAACCGGAAATTTGGGCCAGTTTTTTTGCATTTCAGAACTCCTCAAAAGCTCATTAACGACTTTATTAGAAAGCCATTGATGCATTCGCTGATGAAATTCTGTTAAAAGTTGCTGAAAGTCTAAAGTCGTACAGGCAGGCCGATCAAGATGAAAAGTTGTTCATCTTTGTTTCTCGCCGTGGTGCTGGCTCTCCTGCTGGTCGGAGTTGCAGTCGGGCAAGAAGATCAACCTGAGTAAGTTTCAAGAGCAGTGCAGATAGAACTGGATGCATCCAAGGTCTCTCATCATTGATGCATAATATTCTGATCAAGGACGACTTTGTTGCATAAGCAGGGCTGGCGATGACGGTAACGAGAGGGATGTGCGCCAATTCTACGGCTTTAAGATTGGAGGGAGAAGCTACGGGTTTAACAAGGGGGGAGCCTCTTCCGGAGGCTACAACAAGGGCGAGGAGGAGAACGACGACAAAGGAAGGTGCAGTTGTACGAGCGAGATTTCGGAATTGCGGTCAGAGCTGCAGAAGCTCCGCAGAGAGTTTGTAGAATTTAAGAAAAGCGATTTCAAAGGTCCTCCAGGCCCACGGGTAAGCAATAAAAGAGCGACATCAATCAGCCCCACTTACACAAGTACACACGACGACTGACTCTTTGGGTAGTAGTAAAACGGTGTCGTAACACAAACATTTTTTCATGGCAGGGAATTCCTGGAATCCCCGGAGAACGAGGACCCAGCGGTATGTGAGATGATGTCATTTATTATTCAGCACTCTGCTAATACTCGAGAGGCAGGGACGAGTGTGTACAATAAGAGCTACATATTTTGTGTATGTGCTTTATAGGGCCGGTTGGACCACCGGGTAAAAATGGATATCCAGGTAAGACTTACTCTCCCAAAATGCATGTCGTAACGTGATGCGTGGTTATGAGCGTGGGTTTTTCACGATAAATATATAGGTAAAGACGGTCCCATTGGTCCTATTGGACCTCCTGGTCAACCAGGACCACCAGGAGCCAGCGCTAATGAAGGTTACTACGACAAGGAGACCGGAAGTATTGATTCTGGAGGTGGAGCTTATAAGGGACGCCGGGCCAGAGAACATCCTGGCGATGAGGATATGTTTCCATATCAAATGTAATACTACCACCACCATGATTGCATCCGTTTTTATCATAATTGGCAAAATTTGTTGAATAAATCATTCTTTAAAAAATGTTATTATCTGCCAATAGTACATAATTTAAGTGTGCGTTTAAATAAGAAAATTAATTACGATTGGCGCCGAAATTACAAAATTAATCCTACCTAAGTTAAATTACACGATGAAAATAGAGCCTCTACTTCTCGACCTCTTAGAAAACGAGCCCTCGCTGTCGGACGAGTCGCGTGACCTTAGCGAGGCTCGAGGGGAATCGTACCTCTGGAGGGCTTGAAGTACTCTGTGGGATGGCTGATTTTGAAGATTTTGGTTGGACTGGACCGTGTGCATCGTGGCGGCGGATCCCGCTTTCGACATGGCGAGAACAAGCGAGTCCTCTCTGTCCAACTGTTCCTTCATCCGCTCCAGCTCCTACGCAGTCAAGGAACAAGTCAAAATGAGGACAAGTAAAGGGCGTTTTGTGACGGTGACTCACTTCGAACTTCATGGTGGACAGAACGTACTGATGTTTTGTAATTTTCCTGTAAAATGCGACCCCGAAGAGAAGAATTATGACGAGTACGGGCCCCATGATGGCCGTGGCGGCGATCGAGGCGGCTGGGGAAAAATAGGTGAACTTGATCCAACAGAGCAGAATTACATCTGGAAATATACTTACAAAAAATCAGGAATAAATGACATAAAATTTTGAGCCGTCGAGAAATCTAACCCAAAGTGAAGAAGAAGAGTGAGGCCGTGTTGGCCATAACCCAGGAAAGATCGACGAGATGGGCCATCCTCTCATGGGGAGATTGACCAACTTGCGAAATCAGCGACATTTTCGCCACAGCCTGAATATGTGGAGAGAATGGAGAATCTAAATATGTTCAAACCTGAATATATAAATAGGCTGAACCTGAATGTGTGGGAGCAAGCAGGTCGAGATCATGATTGCCATCATGGAAGTGCCTGCAAATTACTGCAAAAGTAGTAAGAACTCTAATGACCTTGACTCTTGCCCATATTCAGATAAGCCAATTTTTAACCCACCCACGAGAAGAGCAGTGGTGACGACAAAGGCGACAAGAAGGGCTGGATTTGCATCCTCGTCGTTGATTTGCAACTCTACCGTGGCCACCTGTCGTACCAAGTCAAAATACATAGCATATTGTTACTACTAAATAGGCCGTAAAATAATTACTGAATAAATGAACCAAGGAATATTTACGTACCACTGCAAACCCAGCCATAAACGAAGCCATCTCGCACACATTCGACAATTTTGACTTGGCCAGGTGCAGCTTTCTCCAAGAGAGGTATTCCGCCGTGTGGACGACTTCCTGGTCTCCCCCACCTCCTCCCATCGAATGTGCACTCAGATTGGTCACGGACATTTTCTTACCACTCGTGTACTTAAATTCCTGCTGCGTACAGCTGAAGTTTAGTTGAACTTGTTAAACATGTAATAACTGCTTTACCTGGTTATATTTAGTTGAGCAATGCAACGTCAGGTAACACATTCAGTTCGAGGAGATAAGATAACGAGGAAGAGGTGCATAATCCGCATTTACAACCACTCCTCAGTCGTGTGGCAAGAGTAGACTTACTTCAAGCAACTTTGCGGGGCCTTTTAAGATGGGATTATTTCTTCACTGAAAGCCAGACTCCTACCTAATATATGATTTGTCTATAATTGCCTGATTTATTGTTGCACTATTAAAAATCTGGTAGAGTCACATATATACTTCGTACTGGTATTGATTTGCCAATTGGTAACAGCTTCCTACTGGATTGGTAGTAGCTTGTTTCCGAGTGGTAAATTTTTCATTACCACAACATTACTGAATGGTAATTCAGTAATGTTGTGTTACATGTACGTGTGTAATACATGTACCGGCAGAGTCACATATGTACTCCGCTCCGAGAATTAAAGAATTAATACCAGATTTCTAAAAGTATGGTATAAACCATTAAAAACACGGATTTAGCGAAAGCCTTTTGTGTAAGTTTTCGATAACACTTAATTGTTGAAGACAGCAAATCAATGTGACATATTTTGGGAATATGAGAAAGCATATCAAAGTGAGTTATTTGGCCAAAAAAACGAATAAATTATTTTAAGGTTTAAAATGGACCCATGTGGGCGGGGGAGCATAAAAATATGGGTTATTGGGGTTTTTGAAAGGGGGTGTGGTGTTTGGGAGGTTTTTTTTTACGTAATTTCAAAAAAAGCCTCAAATTCCCCCAAAAACCACACCAACTTTGAAGAGAATTTAATGCTGATTAAAAAAGCTATCATACATGCCCCTAGCTCCTATCATTCACACGGGAAAAAATAAAACGTGGCCAAGAAACGGGATTTTTTTCCAAAACCACAATTTCGACAATTTAAAATGGCTGGCAAATTTTTAAATCGAGAAAGTAGCAGGGAACGACCTATAAGTCTTGAACTACCCTCATACGTGTATCAAATGACACAACGTTCGGAAAAATCCCAGACACACTTTTGAGGAAAATATCACGGAAAGTTGAGTGAAATCCAGCACAGTGAGTTATTTAGAAAAAAATGCGAATCAATTATTTTAAGGTCTAAAATGGACCTATGTGGGTGGGGGAACATAAAAATATGGGTTATTGTGGTTTTTGAAAGGGGGTGTGGTGTTTGGGGGGGTTTTTATGAAATTTCAAAAAAGTCTCAAATTCCCCCTAAGACCACACCCACCTTGAAGAGAATTTAGTGCTGATTAAAAAAAAGCTATTATACATTCCCCTAGCTCCTATCATTCTCCCGGGAAAAAATAAAACGTGGCGAAGAAACGGGATTTTTGTCCAAAACGACAATTTCGACAATTTCAAATGGCTGGCAAATTCTTAAATCGAAAAAGTAGCAGCCAATGACCTATCGTCGTAAACTACCCTCATATGTGTATCTAATGACGCAACGTTTGAAACATTGGGGGCGTAACTTTTTGGAAAACATCACGCAAAGTTGGGTGAAATCCAGGTGACGAAAACGGTGATCTGTCGAGCACTTTTGAGCGAAGCTACATCGTTTAGAGTAAGAAGTAGCAATAACTGACCTTTTTCTCGTAAACTACGCTCATAAGACTGTATAATAATGTGACCCTTGTCCCCTCCAGAGTTGTAGTCTTTCTAATAATTTAAGTCAAACTCGCGTCAGATGAGCGTTCCCAGAAATTGCAAAACTCGACAACTTAAAATGGCTGGCAAATTCTTAAATCGAAAAAGTAGCAGCCAATGACCTATACGTCATAAACTACCCATATAGGTGTATCTAATGACACAACGTTTGAAACATTGGGGGGCGTAACTTTTTGGAAAACTTCACGCAAAGTTCCCCCACCCACATAGGTCCATTTTAGAACTTAAAATAATTGATTCGCATTTTTTTCTAAATAACTCACTGTGTCCAGGTTGTTAATGACTACCAATGGAAGAATATGAATTGAAATTATTTTCACCTGGACAGACCGCATGGGGTGGCCCATACCAATTTTTCAAATTCATCAAATCAAGCTGAAATTTGGTAGTCAAGTTGGTAATAGCTCGTAATGGAACAGCATAAAGTAAAATAAGAAAAATTTTCATCTGGAGGACCTTATTGGGCGACCCAATAAGATGACCAGGGAGAAAAATATGTGTGCACCAACAAATGTATACGAACCTAGTCACCCGCGTGGCTGGAATTTATATATATTGCGTCTAATTTTACTAGGATAATATCCTAAGAGTTTTAGGAAAAAATATACACTCGTTTCAAAGTTATGGTCACAGTCGATACTGGTGACCAAGGGAAAAAATGTGTGCACTAACAAAAATTTAGTGATAGTGGATAAATTTTGGTATATGGGTTACTAAAGGCTCGTAATTGAAGAATTCGAAGTTTTAAAAATTTAAATTTGAAAACAGATTTACAAATGACTCGGGCTATATCAAGTCTCCACGGTAGGTTTTCTATTGAGCCACTTTATCAATTGAGCCACTTTTTCCATTGACCCACTATTCCAATTGAGCCACTCTTTAAATTGAGCCATTATTCCAATTGAGCCACTTTTTCAATTGAGCCACTTTTTCAATTGAGCCACTTTTTCAATTGAGCTACTTTTTCAATTGAGCCACTTTTTCAATGGAGCAACTTTTTCAATTGAGCCACTTTTTCAATTGAGCCACTTTTTCAATTGAGCCACTTTTTCAAATGAGCAACTTTTTCAATTGAGCCACTTTTTGAATTGAGCCACTTTTTCAATTGAGCCACTTTTTGAATTGAGCCACTTTTTCAATTGAGCCACTTTTTCAATTGAGCTACTTTTTCAATTGATCCACTTTTTCAATTGAGCCACTTTTTCAATTGAGCTACTTTTTCAATTGAGCCACTTTTTCAATTGAGCCACTTTTTCAATTGAGCCACTTTTTCAATTGAGCCACTTTTTCAAATGAGCAACTTTTTCAATTGAGCCACTTTTTCAATTGAGCAACTTTTTCAATTGAGCCACTTTTTCAACTGAGCAACTTTTTCAATTGAGCCACTTTTTGAATTGAGCCACTTTTTCAATTGAGCCACTTTTTCAATTGAGCTACTTTTTCAATTGAGCCACTTTTTCAATTGAGCCACTTTTTCAATTGATCCACTTTTTCAATTGAGCCACTTTTTCAATTGAGCTACTTTTTCAATTGAGCCACTTTTTCAATTGAGCCACTTTTTCAATTGAGCCACTTTTTCAATTGAGCCACTTTTTCAATTGAGCCACTTTTTCAATTGAGCCACTTTTTCAAATGAGCAACTTTTTCAATTGAGCCACTTTTTCAATTGAGCAACTTTTTCAATTGAGCCACTTTTTCAACTGAGCAACTTTTTCAATTGAGCCACTTTTTGAATTGAGCCACTTTTTCAATTGAGCCACTTTTAGAATTGAGCCACTTTTTCAATTGAGCCACTTTTTCAATTGAGCCACTTTTTCAATTGAGCTACTTTTTCAATTGATCCACTTTTTCAATTGAGCCACTTTTTCAATTGAGCAACTTTTTCAATTGAGCCACTTTTTCAATTGAGCCACTTTTTCAATTGAGCCACGTTTTCAATTGAGCCACTTTTTCAAATGAGCAACTTTTTCAATTGAGCCACTTTTTCAATTGAGCAACTTTTTCAATTGAGCCACTTTTTCAACTGAGCCACTTTTTCAATTGAGCCACTTTTAGAATTGAGCCACTTTTTCAATTGAGCCACTTTTTGAATTGAGCCACTTTTTCAATTGAGCCACTTTTTCAATTGAGCAACTTTTTCAATTGAGCCACTTTTTCAACTGAGCAACTTTTTCAATTGAGCCACTTTTTCAATTGAGCCACTTTTTCAATTGAGCTACTTTTTCAATTGATCCACTTTTTCAATTGAGCCACTTTTTCAATTGAGCAACTTTTTCAATTGAGCCACTTTTTCAACTGAGCAACTTTTTCAATTGAGCCACTTTTTCAATTGAGCCACTTTTTCAATTCAGCTACTTTTTCAATTGATCCACTTTTTCAATTGAGCCACTTTTTCAATTGAGCAACTTTTTCAATTGAGCCACTTTTTCAATTGAGCCACTTTTTCAATTGAGCCACTTTTTCAATTGAGCCACTTTTTCGATGGGGTGACAAATGTGCAAAGACAAATCTGCAAACGACAAATGTGCAAAGACATTTGTGCAAACGATAAATGTGCAACCTGACAAATGTGCAGCCCGATAAATGTGCAAACGATAAATGTGCAGGAATTTTTCCAACAAATAGTGCAATATATCTTGATATAATTTACACTTCAAATCAAATTACATCTTATCAAAAAACTAAGAATTCTGAAACATTAATTTTGTGGTGAAGCTTATGAAGCTGGATATCATATAATGGAGATTCTATACTTATTAAATATTACTAATCATCATTATAACGGGATTGACCCCTGTCAATTTTATAATCAAATTCCCGTGCCGAATCACTGTAATGCTAACCTTACATTTATGTAATGCTAAATTTAGCTAGTGACAATTAAACTTTAGTTAGGGACACCCCTCGGGGATAGAATTTAAAATGACAGCAAATAAGTAAATCCCAAATTATTTCATTGAAATTTAGAATTTTTATATGTACATAATTCCAGCCTATACGATAGGCTAAAATTCACGAATTCACGAAGATGTATGTACCAGGAAATTTATGCACCATAAAAATATAATTTAGTAAAATATGAAGTTAACAATAAATTAATACTGCTCAATATAAGATCAACAGCTTCAACAGACATCATACGGGATGCCACCACAAAATTAATGTTTCAAATTTAAGTTTCTGAGGAGATGTAATTTGATTTCATGTTTAAATTATATCAAGATATATTGCACCATTTGTTGGAAAAATTCCTGCATATTTATCGTTTGCACATTTATCGGGCTGCACATTTGTCAGGTTGCACATTTATCATTTGCACAAACGTCTTTGCACATTTGTCGTTTGCACATTGGTCGGGCCACCACTTTTTCAATTGAGCCACTTTTTCAATTGAGCCACTTTTTCAATTGAGCCACTTTTTCAATTGAGCCACTTTTTCAATTGAGCCACTTTTTCAA